CAGCCCGCTGCGGCCGCCGCCTCGCCTGGCCTCGCCTCGGGCAGCCACTGAGGCTGGGCGGGGACTGGGGCTGTGCGCGGGAGGGGCACTCGGGGCGGAGCTGACTCCTACCAGGGTGACCGGCTGTCACCTGGAAGGTCGGGGCTGCGGGGCTGCGGCGCGCTCGGTGCTGGTGAAGAGCCTGCGAGAACTATTCCGGGGTAAAACAACAAAAACAAAACGTGGCCTCGCCGGGGCCGCTCCTCCTCCCGCCGCGCTGCAGCCCAGCTCGCTGCTCCTCCTCCTACTGTTCCCGTCCCTCCCTCGCTCCTTCCTTCCTTCCTTCCAAGCCGCTGCTCTAACTCGGCTGCTACCCCGCCTCCTGTCCGGCTGCGAGGAGCTTCGCAGGCTGAAGCTTATCTGTGAATCCGCTTCTCCGCCTCTTCTTCCGGCCCCAGCCGCTCCATCTCGCCCTAGGGGGCAGCAATCCTGACCCCGCGCAGACACTGCCCCAACCAGCTTGGCCTCTCCTTGGCGTCTCTGCTGCCCCCTGGAGAGGGACCACTCGCGCTGGGGCGCTGGGGTTTTTTTAGAAAACATTTACTTGACTTCAATTCCTTCCAAAGCCAGCATATTACCTTCTGCATGTCCTAATCATCTCAGAAAATACTGGCGATTATCATAAGATATTAAAATACTAATTTTCACTTTAAAATTTAACATTTTTCACAACGTGAATCTTCCTAGTTCTGTTAATGCTGCCAACTTTTTAAAATACGGGGAAATTATACTGGTACAGATTCCTTGATCTCTTAAATGTGGGAGTGAATGCCCCCTCCCAGCAAAAAAAAACTCAAAAAAATTTCGGGGATAATTTGATCATTTTAACTTTAAAACAAAAGTAGAGGAGTATATTTTCCCTCATTTTAGCAAATTACACTCATTCTGTTTTTACTCTTTTCTCTTTTTACATCTAGTTGACAATTAGATGAGAGAGAAACACAAAACAAAGGGAGAAAGCGTCGAACTTTCTCACAAGGGCTTGTAAAGAATGGAAACCCTTGTTGTTCATTGTGTTGTAGTTTAATGGTGCTCTCCCTTTCTCTAAAGCCCTAGGGCCATTTTCCCTCTTACTTATCTAAGATCAATATGATCAACTGCATTATTCCTATGCTGAATTTCTGAGGGCACCCTGATGGCCTTTTATTAATAAGCATCTAAATTCCAAGATGAAGATATCATTCATTGATGGGAGTAAGTCCTTTGGTTTAACCACTCCATAAACCTTTGTGCAAAATGGACCCATATCTTTAAGAAGCAATAAAAAGTTCTTAGAACAGAATTCTCCCAAGACCTTACCAGAAACTCATACATAAATCTCATTTTCCCAGGCTGCATAGCTGAGATTTATGAAGGAAAAGAAAAAGAACAAAACAAAACAAAACAAAACAAACACAAAAAACCACCTGGAAAAGCACGGAAATCTTGTAGAGTCCACCAAATCAACCAGCTTGGGAGCTAGGATTGAATTTAGAGTCCCAAGCAGAGATTTCATATTGGCATAATAAACAGAAGCCACAAAGAACAAATTCTCACTTACAGTCAGAAAAACAGAATTGTCTTTTATTTATGACACACTAAGGTTGCTTCCTGCTCCGGAATGCCTTCAGCCCTTTCTTTGTAATGTTTCTGTAACCTTTATCTTACTATGTGTTGGTGAACATTACCACTGTTTACCAATATCTGATCCTGGCTGTATCCTGACACATGGGGAGATAGCTTTCTGCCTTCTTGAAATTATTCGTGGTCTCAGGACTTGTTTGGACAGTGAAGTGTGAACAGAAGTGACTTGGGTCACATCTGGAATGGAAGTATTTAATTGCCAGTACAGTCGTTGACAGCCCACTCTTGCTCTCCAGTGGTCAGGATGAGAACATGTCCATGTGGAGGTGATTCGTGACCAGACCAGCCCAGAATGCTGAGCCACCACACTTGAGACAGCTCTCCTGGACAGTCTGCCAGGCACATAGCAGACGCCTCATGCATAAGAAATAAACTTTTGTTCTGATAAGCCACTATGATCCCAGGCTTATTTGCTACCTTATAATTAATCTATTATCTTACCATGTGAAATAAAACTATTATACTGTAGTACATGTATAATATTAGTTGTGTTATAGTCATTTATATATTTGACTTAGTACATACAGGAACTAGATGGTAAGCACTTAGCTTCCTGCCATTATTTCACTTGCAGAACTTACAGAATTATATACATATAAAACTTACTCAATTGTGTGCTGATCAGTGGAATTCAGAAAAGGCTAGGACAAGATTAAACTAAAACATTGGATAGAGGGGCTGGGGATTTAGCTCAGCGGCAAAGCGCCTGCCTGGCAAGCGCAAGGTCGTGAGTTCAGTTCCTGGTACCGGAGAAAAACCAAAAAAAATAAAAAATAAAAATAAAAAAATAAAACATTGGATAGCTATTGCACAGAATATGCAAGAGTAGGATGGTTGGTGAATGTTGAGGTAGTAACTCCACCTCTGGCCCCCAGCCCTTACACTCTCAGCCAAACCTACCCCTCAGAAAGGGCTGAAGAATGAATATGCTCATGAAAAACATTTCCAACAACTTGTTGGAAAATCTCTCCTGAGTAGTCTTGTGGGAATCTCTACCTGTGGTACCGCAAAGTAAAACTTGACATACATATTGTTAAAGTGCTCCTCTAATATTCTAATCTAAATTAGTGGTGACAATACTAATTAAAATGTAAGATGCATTCAAATCTTATTTTAAAAGTTTGTACCACATGAGAAATGTAAAGGTCTGATTACAAAAGTGCTCTCTCCATCTCTCTCCCTTTCTGTCCCTCTCCTCCACCCATTCTGTAACCCCCACAGTGCTAAACACCAAGTTCAATTCATTCCTCTTTCTTCCCCTACTCTCACATCCAGATAACCTCTCCACTTCAAAGTACATTACAAACTCATGTTGTCTCAGTTACTTTTCTCTCATTGCTGAGACAAAATATCTGATGCCTGAAATTAAGGAAGGAAGGGTTTATTTAGCTCACAGTTTGTGGAGGTTTCAGTCCATATTCCACTGGCTCCAAGGCAGAGTGGCACATGGCAGAGGGCAGCTGTTCATGGCAGTGGAAAACAGCATAAGCAACACCAGCAAAAGGAAGGAGTGGCAGCAGACCTCTTTACTTCCCTTACATTGTATGCAAACTACCCGCCCCAGGGTAGGTGTAGCACTCACACCCATAATCCCAGCATTGGACCATGAATCAATCCTAAACTCTAGAAGCCTGCCCCATGACTGCATGAGGCTTTGGGGGGACATCCAGACACAAACCATAACACATGTCTTTATGGACTTGCTGGCTTCCTCTCCCTGATTGCCTTCCCTTCACCTCCACAACTTGAATCACTCCATCTTTCACTATTTAAACACCTATTCATCCACCCAAATCAAGGGTCATCGCTTTTGAAGATATATTTCTTACTTTTGGACCTGGAATTACTGGCCTCTTCCTTGTTGCCTTTTCTATATGATCTGCTCTCTAGCTCTTACTACATTCTTTATAATTACTGGGTGAGTATTTGAGTTCCCACCACAAAAAGAGCATCTTGAGAGAAGGGATTGTTTGATTTGTCTTGGATTTTCCACCAACAAAAAGCATAATAGCTGATAATTACTAGGTACTTAACAAATAGTGAATGAGTGAATGTGTTGAATTGAATAAATAGCTAATTTGAATTTAAGAAACTCAAGAGTAAGAAGAAAGGTATTATCACAGAGGTCATATGCCAATTTATTTAATGAGCTAATTTCTAGGTAATATACTAAATAGATCCATCAGCTAATTACAAAATGCTAGAAAATAATAGACTGCCTCCCCACAATTGTGATGGAATTCTAGCTAGGGATGGTAAACAGCATAAGCATTTGCGATTTAGTATGATTTTCAGATGACAACAGGGTTCTCCTCCAGCATCCCCTGTTCCCTGTGACCTTGCCCTGGCCCAGGCATTCTGTCTTCCTGCTTCAAGGAAGGGATGACACAGCAGAACACAGAGAACAAAAGAGTCCATTCTTAGCCTTCAGGCTTCAAAAGCTAAGGAGCTGGCACAGGCAGTGGATTTAGAATATATGCTCTAAGAGTTTGTTTCTCTTGCTGTAGATACTAAAGGAGATTTCCCCAAACTTGGAAGATGGATTAGAAGAAAGAGAGAAAAAGAGGGCTTAGGTCCTGCGGATCTCCGGAGAGGATGTCTTGCTTGTGTCTCCCTTGGCTGCGCCAGTGAAGGGGGACCATGGAAGCCCCAGCAGAAGCCTATGCTGCCTTTTCCCAGGAGTTACCCAGAAACCTGCAAGACCTCAGCATTTTCTCATGCCCATCATAGAGAGAGAGCAAAAGAAGAAAGGAGAAAGATGGGCAGAAGTTCAGAAACAGCCTCTGGAAATGACCAGTATGACCTGTACCACAAAGGGACCGAAAGCCTATCTTCATGCAGCCAAGGGAAGAGGGACAGACAAGCCAGAATAGCACATGAAACAGGCCTTGCTGTCAGGAGAATGACAAGGCAGTGACCCTGCTAACTGGTACCCTGGCTATACCTACTAGGACGTACAGCAAAGACCTAAGATTATAGCACTAGAGGAGGTCTAGACATCATCAGATCCAGCCAGAAGCTTGAAGGCAGAGATGCCAGAAAGAAATTTTTAAAAATAAAATGTGTTTGTTGTTGTACAGGAGAGGGACAATGACACAGACTATATAGTATAATGGAATTCCTGGTTCATATAACAAGTTGGCTTGGTTTAGGACTCATTATACCAATACAGTCCAAATATATAAAAATGCAACACTCAATAGGAACAAATCTTAAGTAGCTGTAAAAACAAGAAAGAAATGTCCAGATGCCAGAAATGAAGAGTTAAGCCAAAACCGGAGTGGTAAGTGCAACTGAAACTAATGTCTGATGAGGTACTGAGTCTAGAAATAGACTTTGTTGGCTAGAAAAGACGTTTTAATGTCCATGTGGGATTAGAGATGGAACTAATAGAAGTTGGGAGCTGAAACTGAGCTCTTTGATCAGAGATGG